GTAATATTGATAAAAATTTCGAAAAACATATATACAAAAAAAATAAAATAATTTAAATGTTTTTTACCTATAATTATTAATTATTAAATGTGAAAATTTTTATTTAGAGAACCTTTGCAAAATTCTAGTGTTTATATTGCAATTATTATTAAATAATAATGAATATTTGTTTTTTGTTTAGTTTCTATTCAGCAAAAGATAATGTGTTCAAGATTGGACAAGAGCCAACACAGACTATCATGTTGCCAGATACTTCCAAGATAAAATGTGTAAAATGAAATGAACTGAAAAATCTGTTCAGACTGATATATTTTATAGAAATATGTAATATTTTAAACTTCATTTTGTAACAAAATAATTTATGGTTCTTTATGTGTATATTTATACATTTTTTTATGTTATTCTGATGAATTTTTATTCCAACTTTAATAAAATTTATCTTATTTAATTTATTTTACATTTCCAAATAACTGTTATCGATTGTTAAGCAAATGAAATTGACATTTTCAACGATTTGTTCTTTATCATTAGTGCGAGGATTACTGAAAATTTTCTGTATTATTTTTTTAATACAATAAAATAAAAGTGCACAGACAACAACCCATGGGTCGTGCACCTATATTTCAAAAGCAATCAATAAACTGTAAATCACATAATAAGAATGGCTAAGAAATTAAAATAGTGAGTCAATTAAAATAGTGTCAAATGTAACTTAAATAACAATTCATCTGGATTTAAATTTATCATATAATTTATTAATGTGGAAATAGTTTAATATAGATTGTGACTAAAATTTAGTTTTAAGAATTTTTAAGCTGGAATTATTATAAAAATTATAAGTACTTTCATTTAATGGCTGGAGGAAGACTTGATATCAGATTAAATATGTTGTTGTTGTTGTTTCTTATCCCACTTGGCTGGCCAAGCCCACGAGCCCATATGGACTCATGATTGAAGGGGAAGGAAGCAGCTTCTGTTGTGATGGAGCACCCGTAGGTAGAAGCCTGACTTTTGCTCCGTGACGCTCTTACAGTCATAGAAGACCGGGACCTACGGCTTAAAGTGGATTCCGAACCACTACAAACATCCATGGCACCGCCGGGATCCGAACCCGAAACCTGTGGCACCGAGCGCCAGAGCAGATTAAATATAAACTGATGCATGAACAAATTCTATCATCATTAATCAATTGATTTAAATTGTTAATGAACAAATTCAGTTGTTAATCAGCTGATTTAAGTTGTTAATGAACAAATTCAATTGTAAATCAATTGATATTAGTTGTTAATCAGCAAATTCAGTTGCTAATCTGCTTATTTTTATTGTTAAAGAACAAATTCAGTTGTTAATCAGTTGATTTTTGTTGTTAAGCAGTAAATTTTGTTAATAGTTGATTTAAATTGTTAATGAACATATTCAGTTGTATTAGTTATTCAGAACATATCAATTGATTTTAGTTGTTAATTAGATGATTTAAACTGTTAATGAACAAATTCAATTGTAAATCAGTTGATCTAATTTCTTAATCAGGAAATTCAGTTGTTATTCAGCTGATTTAAATTATTAATGAGCAAATTCAGTTGTTAATCAATTGATTTTAGTTGTTAAACAGAAAATTTTGTTAATCAGCTTATTTAAATTGTTAATGAACAAATTTAGTTATTAATCAGTTGATTTTAGTTGTTAATCAGCTGATTTAAGTTGTTAAGCAGAAAATTCAGTATATAATGTGTAGTTTAAAGTTCTTCCCAATAAATGAGCAAAATTGTCATTGCATAACAATCTCTCATTTCTTCTGTACAGAATTAAAAAAAAATACTGATGAGCTCAAAAAGTTATATACTCAAATATTCTAGAATATATACATAAAAAATAGGTAATTAGGAATTGAGTAAACATAAAAAACTTCATTAACTTAACAATTTTTATGATTTTTTTGTAATTAGAATTTCAAACATAAAACGAATAAAAAAAATATTGTATGAAATTTACAATATCATACCGAAATCATAACATTCTATGCTATGAATTGAACAATCTTGCTCTAGTATGACCTGAGTTTCAAAAATTCGTAATAACAGACAATGATTTCTAGAATTTCAAGTTTTAGAGTAGTTCCTTTATAAGGGTGCCATTTTCATTTCTGCCAAATTGTTTGGTCTGTTGTATTTAAAAAAAATGTTTGTATAAATTGAGATAAAGTAACATAAGCGAGCATACGTCTCAAAGCACCAGGACAAGTCAAGTCAACTATTATTATAATAGCCAGTATAAATTTGGATAAAATGAGATAAAGCAGCATCAGTGAGCATAAATCTCAAAGTTGCACTACCAAACAAGACAAGGCCAGATTAATCTATTAATATTATTCCTATATTTTTTATTAAGAAATTTTAGAAAGTTGCTTTTAAATTCGAACTTTTTAAAAATTTTGACAATGGATTATATAGGATCACAACATTACGTTAGCGTAAGTAAAGTATTTTTAAGAACAAGTTCTTAAAAAATTTAACAAGAAAATTGTAGTTTTTGAAATTATACTCGTATTTCAAAACTTGTTACTACTGAAGTTTAAGCATTTGACATACTTTCTATAAAAAAAGATATTCTTAAAGATAAATATTTAGTAGAAAATTAGCGATATAGTAGTGATATATTTCAATATTGAAGCTTCAGTATTTAAAAGACAATCAGTAATTTATAAATTACTGATTAATTTAGAATTTACTGATTGTTTTGCAAATACTGACGAGTTGTAAATTACTTAGTAATAATTAAAATAGTGCAAATTTTAAATGCTTAAATTAATTTCAAAATTAACTTATATTGTTATTTATTTGGATTTAACTTTATCTTGCTCTTTATTAATGTAGAAAAAGTTTAATACGGCTGACTAAAAACTAAATAAGCTACTTTTAGGATGGGATTATTTTAAAAAGTTTAAATATTTTCGTTAAATTACTACAGAAAAATTTGATATAAAAATTAATTGCAAGCAGATGCAAAATAAAGCTTAATAGTTTTAGATATTAAACATTTATTACTGATTTTTTCAATGCAAATTATAAGAATATTTATTGCTCTTAGTATTATATTATTATTATCAATATTATGTAGTTCTTTTTTAATGTATTTCGTTTCTATTGATGAAATTTTGTTAATGTTGTTTTATATTTCATAATGAAAAATCGCAAATTATTTATCTATTAATTGAATTGACATTTTATAATGAAATCATTTGTTGATAATTGCCTCAATATTTTATATTTATTTTAATTACTGTAGTAGTGTCCACATCTGAGCCACAATAGAGACCTGCAGTTAGAATCTCCTGAGTTTCGAACATTGAAACAAAAAGTTTAGTAAATGCCTGCTATGTTATTTGGCGTCAAGCAAATAAATATAACATATGCTCTATATTTTGTTTCCCAACAATTTTTATGCCAAGCCCCACCTAAGCCTTACTGAAATTATTGTGCCACCTATGTGACATACGCATAATTTTTATAACTCAATAACTGAATTGTTCATTAAAAAGGCTTAAATACTGTATTGACAGATGTAGCGCTATCCATGCTTAAGTGAGCCGGCCTTGAGGAACTGATATGAGTTATTACCGATGATTTATTGTAAAGAAGCTCGCAGAAGTTTCTCATGTGCTTTTGTTGCTTAACAAGAGCTGGTGTTCAAACCCTTTCACTTAGATGGTCTTTTTCAGTTTAAATAGGTTGGAGAGCGTTCTATTGAGGGGGGTGGTCGAGAGCGTATCAGGTGGAGTTAGGCGATTCCTGCCACTGCGCCATATAATGAAAAAATGTAGCCGATATTTTTGTCTTGTGTGCTTTTATTATTATTATTATTATTATTATTTTGTAAATATCGCGTTTCATAAAATAAAATCTCTGTTACAAATAAACAAGTAATATAAAAAAAAAATATTTTTAAGTCAATTCCTACTTTTTTTTTCACTCTATTGCAGAAAGCCCTTTATAAATAATTTTCATTCATTTTTTTAAGTTTGTCTGGCGCCATCTATTGGTAGATACATGCAACTTAAATCTAAAAAAAAACTAAAATTAATTAATTAAATTTAATGAATGAATTAATGTTTGCAAAAACTGTAATAACATCCAGTGTCATCCACTACAAGTTTAAAAAAAGTGTATTTGAACTTGAGTGGATGAATAAAAAGTATTTTTATGAACGATTGGAAATTTGAACAAGATATATATAGGGAGAGTGTGAGCAATATAGAAGGAATTCAACACAACTGACACTACGGTACTTAGATTGGTTTTAAGATGAAATCATTTTGAAAGTGTGGAGGAAGCGTAGTAAGTAAATTTTCTAAACATATAAGGATTGATTTATAATAAATTACTAATTAATTTCAAATAAATGTTTTTATATGTAATTTTAATTATTAGTAAATATTTATTTAAATTTATTGAGATTATTGATTATCTTAACGCTTGCTTCAAGGAAATTTTAAGTTAGCTTCCATATTAGTTAGCTTCACTCTCAAATCTCCCTGTTGTTTTATATCCAGCAGATTTCTTTTTTAGCAGCAAATCATTTGCGGAATTTAATCTGCATTCAGATTCATATGAAGCTGGAATCAAATAAAAAATAAATGAACTATCTACATTAAAATGTACATTTTTTTTATTTCCAATGCAAAGGCAAGTACAAGTAAAATAATAATAATAATAATGTTGTTGTTGTTTCTTATCCCACTTGGCTGGCCAAGCCCACAAGCCCATATGAGCTCATGATTGAAGGGGAAGGAAGCAGCTTCTGTTGTGATGGAGCACCCGTAGGTAGAAGCCTGACTTTTGCTCCGTGACGCTCTTACAGTCATAGAAGACCGGGACCTACGGCTTAAAGTGGATTCCGAACCATTACAAACATCCATGGCACCGCCGGGATTCGAACCCGAAACCTGTGGCAACGAGCGCCAGAGCGCTAGACACTCGGCCATTCAGGTCCCAAATTTGCCAACGGCACACAGTGTTCCCAGGTGTACACTGCGAGCAGTTCAGTTTGGTTCAGTTCCACCCAAGTACTGACCGCGCCCAATGATGCTTAACTTCGGTGATCTAACGAGAACCGGTATATTCAGCATGGTACGGCCGTTGATAATAATAATAATAACAACAGCAAGGGAAAAAATACAAAAGAATAAATGTCCAAAGAAATGCAAAGATGACCGAAGTCATTGCCTTAAGAGTTCTCTCGCACGCCAGCAAAGCGCTGTCTCCGAGTCGCCGTCAAGTACAGCACATCCTTGGAGTTGGACTCTGTTCATTGGATCTGCTGAATCACATAGGGGGCAGCCAAGATTCAAAAAGATTTTAATGCGATGGAGATGTTCTGCTAGGCAGTCATGGCCAGTCGGAACTGGGCAACAGCATGCCGTCGCGGATTGCTGGGTATTGCTAAAAGATCTTCAGCTCTCCAACGCTTTGACTTGAATTTGAAACTTGTGGCTTTTAGTCATTATTTGTTTGATATATTATTTTATAGAATAGAGTGACAGTGACGAAGATATCATTTGAAGTAGTTTTGAGCCTCTTTTTGCTAGACAATCGGCCTGCTCGTTTCCAAAAATGCCACAATGGCCAGGTTTAAAATGTGCATTTTGATCGTTTTCAATTAAGAAGTTGCCATCAAAACACTCGTGACATGTTTCATGCGTCAAATGTGTAGTTGGTATTTTTTCAAAGCTAATTAAAATTGGTTGAAAGAAATGTTGCTATTGAATTTAATATAAAATATCATCAGTTTAAATATAAATAAATTTGTGCCAACGGCCATACCATGCTGAATATATCGGTTCTCGTTAGATCACCGAAGTCAAGCATCATTGGGCGCGGTCAGTACTTGGATGGGTGACCACCTGGGAACACCGCGTGCCGTTGGCATTCACAAATTTGGGACCTGAATGGCCGAGTGTCTGGCGCTCGGTGCCACAGGTTTCGGGTTCGAATCCCGGTGGTGCCATGGATGTTTGTAGTGGTTCGGAATCCACTTTAAGCCGTAGGTTCCGGTCTCCTATGACTGTAAGAGCGTCACGAAGCCAAAGTCAGACTTCTACCTGCGGGTGCTCTATTACAACAGAAGCTGCTCCTTCCCCTTCAATCATGAGTACTTATGGACAAGCCAAGTGGGATAAGAAACAACAACAACATAAATAAATTTAATTTGATTATTAGTTATGTACTCTTATATTTAATTTCAAAATATTACTAATGATGAAACAATATTCATGAAATGATATATTTGTAATGATGCATTTCATATAGTTTGGGATTCGTCGACTTGTTGAAAGCGATTTAAAAGAGCATGCTGATATTGGCATCTACATTTTGCTCTTTCACATTTTCTGTGATTATACGACGAACTTCAAAGACAGATCTGGGATCGCTACTTACAGTTGCATAATATGTGCTCTTTTTATACAGTACTTGGTAAGCATGCATTTGCTTTCATCTTTCTTCACACTGAAATAAAGAATGCATAAATAATTCAAACCGAAATTGTAGACATTAAAAATTTAATCTAAGAAACGTTTGAGAATATTCAAAAGAAAAAAATATTTTTCAAGATTTTTAACTTGATGCTGAAAGTTCCAAGAATTCAATTAAGCGACAGCGATTAATTGAGCGATTCAATTACCAATTGATTTCCAAAATATAGTTTTAATACGACAATCAAGCGACACACTAGCAAAATTAAGTGCAAAAAAACACCAACAACGAATCAATTTTGAAAAAAAAAAAAAAAACATCAAATTCGCTACGAACAAGAAACCCAAGTCCTCTTCCAAATATTGCAGATGAAAGCTTTTTATCTTGCTGGGGAGTGTAGGAAAGAAGAATTTTGTTGAATATTTATAAAATTTTATTATAGTTTAAGTTATCTTACCAGTTAAGTAACTATCTTAGTTTGTTACTTTTTTTATTTATTTTTCGGATTCAGTAGCGGTTTCTTGCCAAACTTTGACTTTTGAAAAAGATTATTTTGGTTTTTTATTGCTACCTCAGAATAACTCGTGGTAACTCGCCAATAATAACATCGCTAGTTATTGTCATGTCTCGCCAATAAGATCGCTATGGGCCTCGTGATCGATTGACTAGCACTCTGGTGCTCGTATCACAGGTTTCGGGTTCGAGTTCTGGTGGTGCCAAGAATGCCTGTAGTGGTTCGGAATCCACTTTAAACAGTAAGTCCCGGTCTAATGTTACCGTAGAACGTAGTGGGTGTAGTGTCACTCGCGTCCGTACCATATCGTCAAGCTACACGTGCCCCTTGGGTAGTGCTAAATGAGTAACAGCGTTCGTCGGCTCAACCTATGCGACACACCTATTACAAGGCTAGCTTATATTGTGTCGAAATAAATTGTATCCTGTTTTTACTACAGCTGGTTCAATTTTATTACATGTTTTCAAAAACGTTATTTTGACAAAATTCTATGGCTTTTGATAACTGGGAAAAAAAGGAACTTTGGAGTATAAAATAAATTGGCCTAGAACAGTTTGAAGAAGCCAATTATATTAACCAGTTTTATAAATTATGTACTATGGACAGCTATACCAAATTAATAAATTAAATCGATCAATTTGATAAATTAAATCGACCGGACTAATCTAATCAATTAAATCGACCGGACTAATCTAATCAATTAAATCGACCGGACTAATCTAATCAATTAAATCGACCGGACTAATCTAATCAATTAAATCGACCCCACTAATCTAATCAATTAAATCGACCCCCCACTAATCTAATCAATTAAATCGACCCCCACTAATCTAATCAATTAAATCGACCCCACTAATCTAATCAATTAAATCGACCCCACTAATCTAATCAATTAAATCGACCCCCACTAATCTAATCAATTAAATCGACCCCCACTAATCTAATCAATTAAATCGACCCCCACTAATCTAATCAATTAAATCGACCCCCACTAATCTAATCAATTAAATCGACCCCCACTAATCTAATCAATTAAATCGACCCCACTAATCTGCTCTGGTAAAGTAAATCGGCACAATCTAATAAATCTCAATCAAATAAAATCTCTTTTAATGCTAATCTAATAAAAAAATTAAAGCGACCAACTAATCTAATAAATAAATAAATAAATTAATAATAAATTAATTACTAATCTATTTAATAAGTAACGGATAGCTGAATATATTTTACAGATATTGAAACCTGCGAACGCTCATGGACGGACGCTATATGTCTACTCAGCTAGTCTGTTACATGTTGGAGCTCTAACATTTGGATGCGCTATGGACTGTGTTTCATATGGTCATTCTGCTACTGAAAGTGTATGGAATATTGCTATATCTGTTTTGCTTTTCATTGCTTGCTTCTTTGGAATCGCGATCTTCCAAGATATCATCGCTAGGCTGCGAAATTTTATGGTAAGCATACTATTTTACATTTTCACCAAATTTTAATGAGTTTTCATTTCATTTTCTACTTTAGTGAATTAGTCACAAAAGTATTCTGTCAAAATCAAAATTCATATAAACATATTAATTAGGTTATTTTTGTACTTTAGTTTAATTTTTTAGAAGCTTGAAAAAATGGACTTCTAATTTGGAAAACCAACTTCTGGAGTTTATCGATATTCTGAATTAAGATACGTTTTCCGAACTGATTTGTTGCAAAACAAAGATACCTGGTCGATTGCTTGTTTGGGTCTGATCCTATATTTTACGATGGGTAATATTGCATTTGGGAAATATTTTGACTTTGTAGAGAAGAGGGAACCTTTGAATTTGGCATATTAAATCTTTGGATCATATGAAAGTGAAAGATTTAATTTAGATAAGGTATGATCTGTATCTAAGATATGATCTTGTGTACACAAGGGGTAAAGAGACTGGAATCTACATTTTAAAGTTGATTCCGAACCACTCACAATCATCTATGTTACTGCCGGGATTCGAATCTGAAGCCTGGGATACCAAAGACCAGAGCGCTAGCCACTTGACCGCGTATCACCACGTATATGAGAAAGATATGATCCAAAGATTTAATATGGTATGAAGAAATTTGCACCCAGAACACCAAATCTGATTCAAATTTCTAATCGCAAAGAAGAAGCCCCGATATTTCATAGGAAAATTACTTTTAATAATTTCACTTAAAGCAAGGCTATATTGCGAAATATAAGATAAATAAAGAATTAAGAAAATAAAGAATTTAATCAGATCACTCTTCTTGTTTCTTGTACCACTTCGTCTACAGCAATATCTAGACCAAGTCCATGAACCCGTGTGTAAGCCAATGAGTCATTATAAATGTAAAAAATGCAGCTGCTTTTTTTTTGTCCCTGACCTTGCGGCACAAAGACATGGAACACCCAAAGAGAGAATCACTTTACCCCACCCTGTTATACCACCAGGCACTGGGTACCCATTTTAATCACTTTTTAAGACATGTACGTGCTACAGTGGGCATATTCTAATCAGGACCACACAGGGGAAATCATTCCTAAAACTGAAAATGGTCATCTAGATGCTACATCAGCAGTATGATATATTAGCAGTAATTGCTGCTGCCTAAAGACTCGTTCCCATCGAGGCGTGAGGCGTTTAATCAATCCAATCACTAGCCTCCCCGCGTTCGCCTGAAACCGGTTTGAAATCCGCCGCTTCGAGTTGACCCACTTTCAAATCGAAGCGGAGCTTCACTTGGCGCAATGCAATTTCTGACGTTTCGCTATGAACGGGTCGAAAAAATTTTCTTCCCTGTCGCATGTCGCGTCGCCGCCTCTCGCCTCGGTGGGAAGAATCAAGGAAATGCTCCATCTTTTCCAAAACAGTCGCTTCCCTCCTCATTATCGTTCGTATTTTTTTGGTTTGGGAGAAAACAGTTTTTGTCTTAATATATTACAAAGAAAATTCATCATCTTCATCTAATCGTTGATTAACATTCTTCATTTTAACAAGCTTTGTTGATAAACAAAAATAAGCAACGCTTATTCGACAGCTAAAAAATAACAAAATTCTGTTGAAATCAACTGCTAAAAAAACTTCCTTTTTCTGACAAGTGGAATTCAACTACGTTGACAAAAAATGTAGTTTACTCTAAAAGCCATCTACAGTAGA